AAGGGAGTCATGTTAGGCCCACTCTGTCTAAAAGGTGGTACTGGGCCCAGCCGGTGTGGCTCAATGGTTAAGGTTCGACCTATGAACTCAAGGCCACACAGCCTGCCAACAGCATAGCGCTGCAGACGCTGGTCAACGTAGTATCTACTACTGTATCCAAAGGTGCCTAATGAATAAGGAACGAAGATTTTTTAAAATATATTTTATTGATTTTTTTACAGAGAGGAAGGGAGAGGGATACAGAGTTAGAAACATCGATGAGAGAGAAGCATCCATCAGCTGCCTCCTGCACGCCCCCTACTGGGGATGTGCCCGCAACCCAGGTACATGCCCTTGACCGGAATTGAACCTGGGACCCTTCAGTCCGCAGGCCGACACTATCCACGGAGCCACACCGGTCAGGGCAGGAACGAAGGTTTTTAATTGCACAGCTAACTCACGGCAGGGTTTAAATGCAGCATCTTCTCAGAGCCTAGGCAGGTGCATCTGCTCAGCAAACACTGCAGGCAGCCAGGGGTGGGGGTGGCAGGAAGGCAGGAGCCGCGCCCAGGTCTCTGTGGCCTGCATCTCCTGTCCGACCTGTGTCCCTGCTCCGTCCCATGCAGCTGGGCAGGAAGATCGAGACGGTGCTGATGGTGTTTGACCTGGAGGGGCTGGGCCTGCAACACCTGTGGAAGCCAGCTGTGGAGGTCTACCAGCAGGTAAGGTAAGCAGCTGGCTCGAGGCCAATAGGGAGCCACTGCCCACAGCAGCTGCAGTCCACGGAGGAGGGGCACCCCCGCCCCCAGGGGTCCCACCGAGCAGTCAGTGATGCCAACCTGAGGTACCTCCTGCAAGGAGGAAGAGGAGCAGGAGTCTCACAGAGGACGGGGTGGGTGCTCATGGGAAGGCGGGGTGGGCCAGGGGCCAGGGGGAGGGGGGCTGTTGCCTCCGCAGCCTCAGAGGCCACCCATCCAGGCAGGAATGTTGGAGTGTGGCCTCAACCCGACTCTTCTTGACTTCACAGTTTTTCGCCATCATGGAAGCAAATTATCCTGAGACAATGAAGAATTTATTTATTATTCGAGGTGAGGATTAATGGGGCAGCGGGGAAGGAGTGGAGAATGGGGGGTGGGCCGTGGGTAAGCCACCACATTCAGGGCTTCTGAAACCATCCTGGGAGAAGAATGGGTGTTTTTTGTTGTTGTTGGTTTGTTGGTTTTTTGGTGTGTGGGTGTTTTAGCTCAGTGCTTCCCAGGCTGATATTTTGGGGCTATACAAAAGCCTGTGCAGCCATGTCAAATATGTCGTAAGTTTCTAAATGTTTGCTGTTATTTGCTTTACTTATCTGGGTGTGTGCACTGGTAACAGATGGTCTATGGGCCACACGGATTGGTGGACACACTTTGGGTGAGAATGGTCCCTGTCTGTGACAGCCACATAGTGAGAGGGGGTCATCGTATGTGCTCTGGGTCAGATGATTTGGCTTCCAATCTAGCCAGCTCTGTGACTTTGAGCAAGCCTGTGGAACCTCCTGAGCCTCAGTTTTCCCGTTCTGTAAAATGGGGATGCGATGGCACCTTCCCCATGAGACAGCTGTGAGGTGAAGGGAGGCAGTCTGTGGAGAAGGCGTAGTACAGAGCCTGACCCACAGAAAGGTCCGAGTACGTGTGAGTGGTGCAGGTGGGACATGAGGCCTAAGGCAGATGCCTCCACCTACTTGCACCCAAGAGGAGCCCAAGGCAACCTGGGAAAACCTCGAGTGTGAAAAAGAAGAGGCAGCCACTGGGGAATCAACACTCCTGAAGCCCTACAGCTGAACAGGGAAGCCAGCCACGTATCGCGAGCCAGGCAGGGTGCCAAGGGTTATGCACACGCTGTTAAGTGGAATCTCCATTTTATGTAATTACAGTTAACAGCGCTAAAGCTCAGAGAGGGTGAGTAACTAGCGGAAGGTCACACAGCATGAAGAGTCAGAATCAGGATCTGTCTAATTCCTGCCCGGCCCGCGCCCTCGAGTGGGACTTTACATCTCATCCCAAGTCCTTGCTGGGTCAGTTTCCCAACGGAGTTTCCTGTGTTTCAGCCCCCAAGCTGTTCCCCGTGGCCTTCAACTTGGTCAAGTCGTTCTTGACTGAGGAGACTCGACGGAAGATAGTGATTCTGGGCGGTGAGTGACGTGGCCTCCAGGCTGTGCCCATCTGCCCATCTGCCCAGGGAGCAGAGGTCAGTGCTCACCCCCCACTTCTCTCTGGCTCATCCTCTTCACCCAGGCACTGACCTCGGCCTGACTCCACTGGCCTTTGCACCCTCAGACAAGGCTTTGGGCCTGGACGCCAGCCTGGGTGGCCCTGCCACGCTCTCGGGTGCTCTCATGAGTCGGCACCCAGGGGAGCGAGCCAAGGGCACACCAGGGTCCCTTCCAGGGCTTGGCCCCCTCTGCCTTCTGTCAAGCCCCCCTCTTACTCCCTCAGGCAACTGGAAGCAAGAGCTGCCAAAGTTCATCAGCCCCGACCAGCTACCTGTGGAATTTGGGGGGAACTTGACCGACCCCGATGGCAACCCCAAGTGCCTGACCAAGGTATGGGGGTGCCCAGAGGATGGGGAGTGAGGGTGGTGATGCCACTCACCCACCCTCACCCACAGATCAACTACGGAGGCCAAGTGCCCAAGAACTACTACCTGCACAACCAGGTGAGGGTGCAATATGAGCACACGGCGACCGTGGGCCGCGGCTCCTCCCTGCAGATGGAGTTTGAGATTCTGTTCCCGGGCTGTGTGCTCAGGTAGGGACGGACGGTGGCCGCTGACACCTGGGCACAGCTGGGAGGAGCCTGGAGCCCGGGCATCAGGCGGCCATCAGCGGTGCCCTCTCCCCTGCAGGTGGCAGTTTGAATCGGAGAGGGCGGACATCGGCTTCGGCGTTTTCCTGAAGACCAAGAAGGGGGAGCGGCAGCGGGTGGGGGAGATGACGGAGGTGCTGCCCAGCCAGCGCTACAACGCCCACCTGGTGCCCGAGGACGGGAGCCTCACCTGCCTCCAGGCCGGCGTCTGTAAGAGCCATAGGGTCCACCAGGGTCGTTTGCTTCCTCCTGGCGAAGGGATGGGCTGACATGGGTGGACAGTCTGGCTTCTCTCTTTGCCTTTAAAAAAAAAAATATTTCAGGAAGGAAAGGAGAGGGAGAGAGAGATGGAAACATCAATGAATGAGAGAGAATCGTTGATCGGCTGCCTCTTGCATGCCCCCTACTGGGGATCAAGCCTGCAGCCTGGGCATGTGCCCTGCCCTGAAATAGAACCAGCGACCTCCAGATTCCGCTGCCTCCTGCACATCTCCTACTGGGGATGTGCCGGCAACCCAGGCGGAATCGAATCTGGGACCTTTCAGTCCGCAGGCCGACGCTTTATCCACTGAGCCAAACCGGTTTCAGCTATTCCTAATTCTTTAATGAGCACAAGCCTCATCCAAAGCGATGGATGGCTGGGAGCCATGGGCTGGGGGCTGGGCAGTGGCTGACCCTCCGGCCCCATCCATAGTCCTGGGCGGCCAGCCCCCAGGGCACCGGGTCTGCGGAGGGCTCGGGCTAGAGCTGCCTGATGGCTTCCTTCTCTGTCCTGGCAGACGTCCTGCGCTTCGACAACACCTACAGCCTGATTCACACCAAGAAGATCAGCTACACCGTGGAGGTGCTGCTCCCCGACAGGGCCTCCCAGGAGAAAATCCAGGGCCTCGAGGCGACAAAACCATCCCCGGCACAATGAAGACCCCGCTGCCTCCGCGCCTGGGTTCTGCACCCCCCGCTGCACCCACTCCCTGCCCCCTCTCCCGCCCGCCCCCCCAGGCAGGGTGCTGCTGGAGGCGACCCCGAGGGCACTCACCTCCCCTCATCATCTCAGCTCCTCCTGGCACACCCGGCCCAGGGGCCAAGCAGGAGGGGAAACCCAGTGCGTAGACCACCCTGAGGATCCTGACGGGCATCTGATTACCTGTCTGCAAAGGCTGGGGATGAGAACCCGAGGATGAACCAGCATCCACTGAGGAAGGATTCCACCTGCAGAGCTGCCCGAGTCCCTCCTGACGACGCCCACCTGTCCCAGGACCACCCCCACCTGGCGCCCGGATGTGCCGGCCTGAGCCCCAGGCCTCGCAGGGAGCACAGCTTCGGGCCCTAAGAGCAGGGAGGCCGTGTTCTCTGCCGGAGGAGGCGGCTCAGCGGGGACGGGCAGGGCCAGCTGGAGGCTTGAGAGTCTGCACAGGAGCTCCGACGCCGTGAGGAGCAAACCAGCTAAATGACCAAACGCCAGCGCCGTGCGTGAGGCGCTCCTCATCTGCCTGGGCGTGTGAGTGGTTTGGTAAGAAGAGAGACTGCTGCGCCCGCATCGGGGAGATGGCCCTGGGCTGGGGGTCAGGCAGAAACCACGGGACATGGAGTTCCAGGGCTGCTCCCCCACCTCAGAGCGGGCTTTGCCACCACCTGGTGGCCCTACGCGGTCACCCTCCGTGCAGCCTCCCAGATGCAGCCACATCTGGAGAACCCCGGGGCGCTCGGGCATCCCAGAGCCATTCCCGTTGCCCTTGGCAGGCTAGGGAGGGCCCCGTGACCGGGGTTGGGGGGACCCTTTGCCGGGTTTTGCTGGGCCCACCTGTTGCTCTGACAGAGGCTCACAATAGGTGACCCCCACCTTCACAATCCCCTGCCTAAAATCAAGCGGTTTAGCCCGGCCGCGGTGGCTCAGGGGTTGATCATTGACTTATAAACCAGGAGGTCACGGTTCGATTCCCCGTCAGGGCACAGGCCTGGGTTGTGGGCTCGATCCCCAGTGTGGGGCGTGCAGGAGGCAGCCGATCCATGATTCTCTCTCATTATTGATATTTTTATCTCTTTCTCCCTCTCCCGTCCTCTCTGAAATCAATAAAGATGTATTTTTTCAAAAAAGGAAATAGCTCTGAGAGGCCCTGGCTGGCCCAGGTTTGTTTCCCTGTTCACCCATTTACTCATCAACGTTTATTGAGCGTCCGTCCAGCGCCAGGCACTGTAGGCCCCGGGGGCACCAGGCTACTGGGCTGGCCGGACCCCACTGGCAGGAAGGGTGCCTGTGTTAGAAGAGGCAGAAGTGACTGATGATCCATCACCGAGTGAGCATGTCATCACGGGTGCGCTGGGAGGGGCAGGAGCCAAATTCTGGGGGAGCATCCAGCAGAGAAACCCAATGGGGGATCGGATGTGCTTTGCCCACGGGAGGGACCTCTAAAGGGAGA